TTAGTCGTGCTTCTTCCTCTGCGCGTCTCTGTCGTTCTAATGCTTGCATGAATTGCTGCCGTTCTCTTTCTGCTGGGGACTTTAACAATGTTTGTAAATGTTGAAATTCCCGGTACACACCCGGGGTTGGTTACATACAATTGACTATTGCATAACTTTAACTACCCATCCCCCTAAAAAAGCATTTCAGTGTTTGATATATCACCCCATCCCCATTAGTCTCCTCGCAGCCGTGTTTAGTCTCGATCAAGCGTAACGCAATCTACTTCTCCAATTATATCATTATTAGTATGGCAAATATCCCCTTGTGAATTTCTTGTCACGATGACAAATTCATTGATAAAACCACATCTGATGTTACTTACAGATTCCATAAAAAAACGGTACGGATCTGTCACGCTTTCCAATACCTCGCCCAGTTTGAGTTTTCGCATCATGGCAATGGCTTCCGGGTTTGGAATGAAATAAATCCTTGTGTTTCGCTCGACTGGTTTGGTCGATAAGATGGACTTGTTTTGCGCTGTAGCTTTACAAACTTCTAGTAAATTTTCGTAGCTCTCCAATATAAATTTTTCTAAGTTTTTCTCTTCCGTCGTTTCACACTGATGTTTCAGTTCAGTGACTTGTTGGATGTTGGCGTTGATATCTTTTTTCTCGTCTTCATTAGCTGTTATTTGTTCTGCAAGGAGGCCGTCTAAGGTAGCAATCAAAGCGTTTTGGTGGTCTTGCAGAATCTTCATCATAGCTTGTGTGTCATTTCGTACTTTTGCCTTTGTTGTGTCAACCTCGCTTTGAATCCTTGTCATATTTTCATTGGACAGTTTTAATTCTTTCTTGTAGCCAAGAAGCAGCTCATTCAGTCGATCCTTTTCTTTTCTGATAAGGTTTTTAGCATCTTCAGCTGCCTCCTCGATGCTGACCTTGTCATGGCTGCTGTGTGCAGTTGTGCCACATTTTTGACAAATACACTTCTTGCAAGTGATGCAGTAGTAATCGAGACGGCATTTCTGGNCTCACCACAACTTTGTACGGTGAAGGTTTCTCAGCTTTATACTTAACTTGAAATCTTCCAGTATCAGTTTCGGTCATTTCTTTCTGAATATTGTTTCCAAAAAAATCTTGGATTTGTACATCAACTATATCTTTATTGGTATGGCATAYATCCCCTTGTGAATTTCTTGTCACGATGACAAATTCATTGATAAAACMACATCTGACGTTACTTACAGAYTCYATAGAACAACGGGACGGATCTGTCACGCTTTCCACTACCTCGCCYAGTTTGAATTTTCGCATCATGGGGGCGGCTTCCGTGTTTGGAATGAAAAGAATGCTTGTGTTTCGCTCGACTGGTTTGGTCGACAAGATGGACTTCTTTTGCGCTGTAGCTTTACAAACTTCTAGTAAATTTTCGTAGCTYTCCAATATAAATTTTTCTAAGTTTTTCTYTTCCGTTGTTTCACACTGATGTTTCAWTTCAGTGACTTGWTGGATGTTGGCGTTGATATCTTTTTTYTCGTCTTCATTWGCTGTTGTTTGTTCTGCAAGGAGGCCGTCYAAGKTARCAATCAAAGCKTTTTGGCGGTCTTGYAGAATCTTCATCAKAKCTTGTGTGTCATTTCGTACTTTTRCCTTYGCTGTGTCAACCTCGCTTTGAATCCTTGTCATATTTTCATTRGACAGTTTTAATTCTTTCTTGTAGCCAAGAAGCAGCTCATTCAGTCGATCCTTTTCTTTTCTGATAAGGTTTTTAGCATCTTCAGCTGCCTCCTCGATGCTGACCTTKTCATGGCTGCTGTGYGCAGTTGTGCCACATTTTTGACAAATACACTTCTTGCAAGTGATGCAGTAGTAATCGAGACGGCATTTCTGGTGATATTTTTCCTTGCAAATGGTTTGATTGTTGATGTAGCTGTTGACATTTTGTGTCTTGAATTCGCTCCATAGCGTTGCTTGGTGTGTTTTTATCAATGGCTTTACTGTTTTGTGTTGGTTGATGCATTCATTACAAATCATCCCTTCACATTGAGGACAAAATCCAACCAATATTCTTTGTTTGCTGCAACCTACACACTCTGGAAGCTGCTGCTGGTTGTATTCGTCAGTCTTCATGACGTTGAATAGCTGAAGAAGCGAGTTGTAAGTAAACGAAGACGGAAGCTTCGAGATGTCGTCTCCTTCGATCTTGACTACTGCTCGACAAGTTGGACATCTCAGCCTCTTCCTTTCTCTCTGACAAGCTTCGTTCCAACTTTTGATGCAGTTGAGGCAGAAAGTATGTAGACACGGTAGTGTCCTTGGATCAGTAAAGATATCGTTACAAATAGCACAAGTTAACTGTGCTTTCAAGTCGTCTGTGAAAGCATAAGATGCTGCCATTTTGGTTCTGAAGGGAGGTGTTCATGTGTGGACGTAATTTTGACTAACGGTTGACTAGTTGTCGACAAAGACACATCGAAAGTACCAAAACAAAGAATATATCAAACACATGTGGTTTGCCCAAAGAATTGTTGAAATTAAGATATTTGAAAAAGAATCGTTGAACTTGAAATCAGTATTGGAAATAATGAATATCAATGTCTTAATGCAATTGTCTGCAATCAGATGATTGCAAGCTCGAATTATCCCAAGACAAAATACATGAATATTCTTTTGAAGAATGCGAATGTTTATCAGGATATTTTTATTCACGGAAACAAGTTTCAAAAATCTTCAAAAGTATGTATTCGTTTGATCATAGTTTATATTAACTCATGTTTTTTTCTTCGCAGTTTTCTCATTTGTTTGAGATATACTTTCAATTGTTCCTGTGATTCCGAGAAGTACAACGGTTGACTAGTTGTCACAACAGAGACCATGACAGCATCAAAGCAATGAATATTTGAAACATCTAAAGCTTGTCAAAACAAATATTGGAACTCATTATTATACATTCAAGTCTGTCAAGCAATATCTAGTCACTAGATTAGCATGAGGGTTTCATGCTTGGCGAACCTATACTAAAGGAAAATGTATTTATATTCTTTTGAGAATACATTGTATGAGTAAATTAATAATATAAATAAGTTATTTTCATTAGTCAAAAAAAGCCTCTTCCCCTTAAAACAAATCCTGTGTTTGGGATTCCTGAGTTGAAACGAGGAGTTACCTAGGAACTATCAGATGATGTCTGCTGTCTTTTAAGAGCGAGTCCTCCGTATGTTTTTTTTCTGCAAAGCTTCGCGTAAATTTCAACATAATGAGCTTTTAAGCTCATTATTGTTAAAACAATAGGAGAACGACAAGAAACTCGATGGAAACCTTTCATTAGAGGAAGGAGTTTGACGACGGTGCAGTATGACTGACATGTAGAAGTTGCATGATTTTTTCCATTTCTTGTAAATTCAAGCTAATAACTCGTATTTCTCTCTTTGTTTTTCTTGGTTAATTTTCAACTACTACTCACTACATGGATTGTTTTATTTTCACTTATTTATTTTATAGTCACTTATTTACATCACGTCCAGTCTTTTTGAAGAATATTTTATTAAACAGAAATGGATTTTTGTGATTTTGTTTTGTTTCACTACTAATATAACACCATTTTTTTCAACCGTTTTAATCTAAGAATAGCCCTCTCTGCAGGTATAGACCACCATTATATACACAGGAAACCCAACAAAATGATGACTACAGAGGAGGCCAGTTATTGACAGGGTCTGAATGGGGTTAACTGTTAACTGAGAAACGGCTAAAATAATAACTGTTAACTGAGAATTTCGGCTTTATTTAGCTGATAACTGATATTAACAAGATAACTGTTAGCTGATATTCCTTTGTTTGCACACGTTTTGCATATAGGTGAACCTTGTTACCAGGGCTTTTTTTTCCAAAATGGCGGAGAGAGATACCCCTGGTATCGGCCGGTCACGTGACATCGACTCTCTGTGGGTGTTTAGTTAGGAATACCGCTGAATGCAGGCACCAAAAATGCCACGACCCCGATGACGATTCCTTCGCTCTGCATGTGTTACCACACACTCTGGCAGGGACCGCGGAGACGGCCGAGGGGAATATTTTGGTTGCATACTTTCCGCAGTTAAGAAACTATCCAAAGAAGAGAAAAGCTTAGTTAGTGAGGCGGTGACGCTATGTAAGCTGTTGGCAGTCAGCAACCAGCGCTTCGTGCGAACGATCATATTTAGCAGTGTGACGTCTGAAAACCTGGCTAAGATCAAATATGGCAAAACAACGATTCAGCAATCTCACGCTACTAACTATTGACTTTAGATTGTTACGATCAAAAATGCCTTTTTTCATTGTTGCGTTTCGCAAAATTTCCATAAAATTAAAGCTTCATATGTCTTCTCGATGCTGTCAAAATGCTGGAAATCGCATTTCCGAGGATTAAAATTCACAAATTCTCCTGGGGGAATGCCCCCGTACCCCCCTAAAAAATTGGCGCATTCGGCGCTCGTCAGCCCCCACATGTTCAACCACTCCGCTGTCACTGTATGGCTATCAGGTACGTGTGATATCAACTTTATGTCACGTCATAGATATAAGTGCTGATGCATTATAAAAAGTTGACATGACTTGATCAAAAAGCCACGCCACTTTCCATCTTTAGACATCTCCATCTATCATCGTTGTGAAAGGCATGGTGGTGACTGTTAGTTTGAAAAGGAAAGGAGGTACACTTTGAGAGTTATCGAAGTTCGAATATTGACTACTGTGTTAAAAGCGTAGTTTTAATGCTGAAGAACCATTGTTTGGGGAATTTTCTTAGCCTGAAAGAACAGACCACTGGTAAAACGTACTTTTCTTAATAACTGAATATTTAGTTTTTAATTATTACACAAAAAAATAATTAACATGCGGCTTAACTGAGAACCGAAAAATTTAACTGATAACTGAGAAAATTGCCAAAATTTAGCTGTTAACTGATATCGGGACCCCCCCATTCAGACCCTGTATTGAATATTCAAACAGTTGACTAAGATTCTTTTATTTCATAATATCAAAATGTTACTTAGAAGTAAATTGGACAGCATAAATTACTCTGTATTGAAATTTTCTATACGAAGTATAATGAAAAAGGTTTTTGAGTGAAAAAATCAAAAGAAAAGAAAATGGTTCTAAACTACTGCAATTTCCCATCCGTAATGAATATGAAAAAAAGACCGTCAATGGATTATAGCTAATGTTTCTCGTGGGATTTTTGTTCTTCTAAAATATGGTAGAAACAAATGTTCTGCTGCTACGGAGGATACAAACTCATGTTCTCTGTGACTATAATTGTACATATTTGTTGTGTAACAGTTAGTATGTGTTTCATGGGTACATCGCTATGAAGGCAGTCAACAGATCTCATCTCCACACCTGCACTCGTTGGGCCCAACGTTCAAGTACAAATACTCGACCATCTGGTGTAACAGCAACGTCATAAGGACGATTCATTTGACCAAGACCTGAACCATAGCTACCAAAGGACGTTATGAACTGACCTTCTTGACTGAAGACTTGCACGCGGTGGTTATTTAGATCACAGACAAAAAGCATTTCTTTACCAAACACAGCAAGTCCACGTACATCGTTAAACTGACCTTCTTTGTTGCCTTCCATTCCAAATGTGTATAACAGACTACCTTTCTCGTCAAAAACACGAACCGTGCTGCGTTTGAAAAACGACACAAAGTACTTATTGTTGTCATAAACCAATGAGAACGGATGCATGCGACGATTAGCAGGATCATCCAGTTTGATGTCATGAAGGTGATCATAACTGTCTTTATCAAAGACCTTTATAAATGTCTCTGTAATATTCTGATCGTAGCACAAACACGCAATGGTTTGATTGGCTGCACACATTCTTTTCAGTATCATTCCGCTAGATAGTTTGCAAAGAGTTCTTTTGTAGGTACCATCGATGTCAAATACCCTGATACAGCCATAACTACCTGGATTATCGGTGATGACCAATTTGTCCTTATTGAAGATTACTCCAAATGGGTGACTCAGCTGACCTTCTCCTGATCCAGCACCACCAATGTCTCGCAAATACTCTCCATCAGCATTGAACAACACAACACGGAAATCATTGTTGAAATCGTTATTAACCAGAGCAATGTCGCCACTATCACTTACATCAAGTGTAATGGGATTGGACATCCTCTGTTTGACATCAATAATCTTCGAGGGTTGAAATTCTGCTTTAGCATCGATTGTCTCAATGTTCTTTGGTGAGTTTTTGATCCTTTTTCCTCCAATACTCACCAGAACTTTGTACGGTGAAGGTTTCTCAGCTTTATACGTAACTAGAAATCTTCCAGTTTCAGTTTCGGTCAGTTCTTTCTGAACATTGTTGCCATCGACTTCTTGAATTTGTACATCAAGTATATCTTTATTGGTATGGCATATATCCCCTTGTGAATTTCTTGTCACGATGACAAATTCATTGATAAAACCACATCTGACGTTACTTACAGATTCCATAGAACAACGTGACGCATCTGTCACGCTTTCCACCACCTCACCCAGTTTGAATTTTTGCATCATCGGGGCGGCTTCCGTGTTTGGAATGAAATGAATGCTTGTGTTTTGCTCGACTGGTTTGGTCGATAAGATGGACTTGTTTTGCGCTGTAGCTTTACAAACGTCTAGTAAACTTTCGTAGCTTTCCAATATGAATTTTTCTAAGTTTTTCTCTTCCGTTGTTTTACACTGATGTTTCAATTCAGTGACTTGTTGAATGTTGGCGTTGATATCTTTTTTTTCGTCTTCATTAGCTGTTGTTTGTTCTGCAAGGAGGCCGTCCAAGGTAGCAATCAAAGCGTTTTGGCGGTCTTGTAGAATCTTCATCAAAGCTTGTGTGTCATTTCGTACTTTTGCCTTTGCTGTGTCAACCTCGCTTTGAATCCTTGTCATATTTTCATTGGACAGTTTTAATTCTTTCTTGTAGCCAAGAAGCAGCTCATTCAGTCGATCCTTTTCTTTTCTGATAAGGTTTTTAGCATCTTCAGCTGCCTCCTCGATGCTGACCTTGTCATGGCTGCTGTGTGCAGTTGTGCCACATTTTTGACAAATACACTTCTTGCAAGTGATGCAGTAGTAATCGAGACGGCATTTCTGGTGATATTTTTCCTTGCAAATGGTTTGATTGTTGATGTAGCTGTTGACATTTTGTGTCTTGAATTCGCTCCA